GATTTTAAAGATCAGCTGAAAAAAGCTGCTTTGGTTTGTGACCTGACAGTGTTGCCAATTTGCTACTCTTCCTGATTTTGCAAGATCATCCAACCTGCAACAGGCTAATCCAACAAATAAGCTTTGTTTGGTCACAATGTCATTGTGTCGAGTAAAAATGTGGTGACTTTTAGTGATTGTGTGACCCTTCATGATGTGATGACACGACATAGTTGCTTTTTCATTATGATGACAAACAGACATAGCAAGTTTACCTTGCTGTGTAAACAGCAAAAGGTTGGCAATTCTACAAGTCCTCTAGAATGGGTTCTCAACCTTTGGGTCATGGGAGTAGCAGGCAGATATCAAGAAAGCCTGGCCACTCTGCCCTTCCTCTATTGCTAAATGGGAAGGAGATGCTATGTAGACAGAAGAAGAGCACCAGAGGCAAAAAGAAGTCCTGGTCTACAGCACATACACTGATAGGCGGAAGGCTTTGCAATGAGTTCATGAAGCCCATGTTGATTTGCTCAGCATTGGGGGGACATGATAGCAGTTTTCAGGTATCTAAAAGGGTGTCATAAGGAGGAGAGAGAAAACTTAGTCATCTCGGCCTCGGAGGATAGAACAAGAAGCAACGGGCTTAAACTGCAGCCAGAGAGGTTTAGGTTGGACATTAGGAAAAAGTTCCTAACTGTCACGGTGGTCAAACGCTGGAATAAATTTCCTACGGAGGTTGTGGAATCTCCATCTCTGGAGATATTTAGGAGTAGGTTAGATAAATGTCTATCAGGGATGGTCTGACAGTATTTGGTCCTGCCATGAGGGCAGGGGACTGGACTCGATGACCTCTCGTGGTCCCTTCCAGTCCTAGTATTCTATGATTATGGGATATATGCTGTCCTCTGATCAGCTCTGCCAGAATTCAGAAGTATTCTAGACAGAAAAGAAGAAAGGAAACCTACCTATGATTTCACAGATGCCAGAAACATTAGAATTATCATACCAGGAAGGCACATCAGCCACTTACCATATGCGTTTTTCATCTGGCAGAAATCAGTGACACTTCCGAGCACTTTCTCTTTGCACACACACTTTTCTAGCACCGAGAAACCGGAGACCACAAGGGGTTGGAGAAGGGCCAGAACATGAAAGAGAAAAGCAAATCAAATGATGTTCATTTCTCTATGCATGCATATATCTATGCATAAAAGTTGCTCCAGTTATCTGAGTAAACATAGATGCTTAAAGAAGATTTAAGAGTGAGCTCAGTTCTTTGCAAAGCTGGTTCTTGTTAAACAATACAAAAATGGTTCTGAAATCTGGTCCACATTGTGAAGTAAAAAGCAATCTGCATGGGGTCCATTTCACAGTTAATAAACTGATGCTAACAAAGTCTAAATCAGAATCAGATCCAGGTGTGAATAATATAAATTATGCTCTTGTTAGATGGCAAGATAAGCAATATTCAATTTTGTCAATCCTTAAATGGAAGTACTATGGAAAATCCATGTTGATTCAGGACATGTTGGGGATTCAATAGGTGACATACTTTCCTCTAAGTCAGTTCATCATTGGCTCTATACTGACTCGTGCTGTCCGTCATATGCTATGTAAAACCGAGGTCTTGACCACTTTTAAGCATTAAAGGTTCTGCTATATTCTATTGGACTAATTTCTCTCTTAGTTTAAGGGAATACAATATACTGCCTGTCCTGAATTGTTGTTGTTAGTGTGGCTGTGTGTTGGTTTTAAAATCACCTACATTGCATCCCAGTGATGGCTGCATTTCAGTAATGGGTCAAGTGATCCTTTCTGTATCTAGCATTTATAGTTCCACAAAGCAAATGAAGGCTTTCAAAGCCTGCTTTGTAAATCAATTAATAATATGAATGTAAACTGGAAGCATATTTTTCCACAGAATTCAAGGATGACTCTTTCATTTATTGACCACAAAGCCAGGTTTACCCTGCACTGGAAAATAGAGTGAAAAACAATGCAGATCTCTCCTTGAACTCATCCTGGAGTGTCCTGCCAAATATTCAGAACTGGGTGCAGAAGAGTCTCACACTCACTCACAGGATGCTCACATTTGCCTTCTCATTTGAATAACATGTTCCTGATGTCATACTTCTACATCTGCAAATGTGCAGGAGAACTCTTAATGGGAT